AAAAGCGGACTCATAAATTTGACAGTTAAATGACATGCCAATGAAGTAGAATCATACAGTATTTGTACAGAGTTCAGAAGGTTTTCTAAACCACACAACAGTTATCCCAGAGTAAATACTAGAAGGGACCAGTCAACAGAAGTACTGAGATCTTACACCCAGGATTCTAGTCACAAAACATATGCTGATGCTTGCATGGGATCCAGGGCATAGCTATTGCTTTTGAATGAAGGACTCCTCCATTGTTTGTACCTAACACAATGAAAATCCAGGGCAATTCTTTTAACAATTGCTTCACTCCTTTCCTCCTACCAAACAATGCCTCAGTTTTATTCTGTGGGAACTTTTCAAGGGGTGGGTATCAGCTACACACCCTAGGTAAGGTATACAGAAAACAGGTGAACCATAGGGGACCACCAAATGAGAAACAAACAAACAAAAAAAAATAGGCAACTACAGTAATTTCTACTGAGAAACAGCAGAATCTCCCAGAAACATCAGTAGGAGGAAGAGTATTATGTGGTCTGGAAAAAAGGTTCTTCTGAAGAGAGAAGAAAAAAGCTGTAGGTGTGTTCAGTTGTGTCAAGCATCTGTGGCTACAACACATAACACTAAAGTTATGAGTTATCAACACAGAAGCAGCCTGTGAAGCAAACTATAAACCACCTCTGGAGGGTGTGGAAGGAATGGCAAAACCTGGCCATTTTGGCAGGAGAATTAAATGACATCTTCAATGAAAACTGATAGAATATTATTTCAATTGACGAAATTTCAGCTTACCTATATGTAGCTGGACTAAATAAGGATTTCAATGTTTTTTGCTAAAATTGTCCCCCTGCAAAAGACTTGGACATCAATATACCACGATAACATGAATCAAGAAGAGAGGTGAGCAGAAACATGACTCCAAGTGTTGAGAGAAAGTATCCTGAACAGATGAGTCAGTGAGATAGACACACACACACGTCACAGGCAGTCCACCTAAACTGATGACTAAAAAGAAATTGTGCACGTATTGAAAAAATGAAATGGCAATATGACCTTTATTAACACAAGATTTTCATGCTATCAGGGTTGCTTCTATTCCTGTTCAAATAGTTTTATCTAGTTTTTTAAGGCACTTTTCAAGATTTTGTAATTTTAACCAAGCTTTATAAAAAAAAAGTCAAACAGCAAAGCTCAAAAACATTCAACTCTACTAAAGAATACTGATTATTATGATACAGGTGTTATGTTTACATCTTCCACATAACAGCAAAAGAAAAAAAATCCATCAATATTCTATCACAATTATTCAATTGTTTTGTTTCACAACTGTATACATAAACTGAGAAATTTACTTACTGGTACAATTTGAAAATGCTTTATTTTTAATCCATGACTCAATGACAATACAAATGTTTTGGGGTTACTCTGGCTATCACGTACCAGGAATACCCTAAAAGAGATTGAAAATTTTCACAGTAAGATTAATCTGGAAAGCCTTTTGTAAACATCCAGATAAAACTATTGTAAATTCATTACAGAGGTATTAGTGAAAAGCAAAAATAGTATTAATTACGTAAGTTGTGCATTTAATGAGTATTTCTTTGCAAATGTGTCACTGGAAATACTTTTTCTTGATTTCTCCACCTTGTCTATTATGTGAAAAATATGCATTCTCAGACTGTAGGCGTCAGTTTTTACGCTGCACACAATTACAATGCATCTCTCTATACAGAAAAGCACCCTCAAAAGTTTGTGTGCTTTGAAAAAAATTTTTCTTTGGACTCTGTCACATAACCTAAATCATAACCTAAGCATTATAGGGGATATTCAAAAGGTAGTTCAACAGGAAGTTTACAGTAAAGGTACCACAAGACAAACCAGGATGATTTTCACACCTGGCTGACATTCATAAATGAAAACTCACTCCTGCATATCAGCATTTCCCACTGGGACAGAGCTACAGTCTGGTCCCTTTATAGCATCATTATTCAAATCACAACTCTCAGTGGCCAACAGTGTCACTTCAACTGTTCCCTGGTAACTTATTTCAGCCAGGTTATGGACAGACATAATTTTGCCATAATCCTGGTATGATAATCTGGTACAGGCCAAGGACAATTATCAGTAAGAGACCACTTTAACTGAATCACAGGGTTTGGGATATCAGCAGAGAACACTTCAGAGGACAGTGGGAAGTACTTGATTCCTGGCTTTGGAGTGGAGAGAGTCTGAACTGTTTATACTCTGCAGGTCTGGAGCAGATACCGCTAAGCAATGTACCAAAGAAGGGAAATGGAGGCACAGCCATTGGCAAGCATGCTCCTCTTTCAGGACACAAAAGAAATGGGCAAAATGGACTTGCAAGTATTAAGTGAGCACTAGCGGCCACCTACTTTTGCCCAAACTCATACCAGGTATAGAGAACAACTACCATATAAGAAGAAAGGAATTCAGGAGGAGAAAGCAGACAAAGGCTTACAGTGGATTTTCAATTACTAACGGTATGAATCCAAACCACCAATTTCATCCTCCAAGTTTTTGCAAATTCTTTATTTAAAAAGTAAGAAACTACCTGGTATCAAGAAATTCTGAGTCCATAATCATTAACATTTCTATCAAAATCCTCATCCAGTCTACTTCGGAGCTCTGATACAAATTATTAAAGAGGCATAATTGCCAACTCAGCATACGGCTGCTAAGTGCCCAGAGCAAGTATAAGGACAAATAAGACTTCCCAGCAGACTCAGGCTCTCCTGAGCAGCTCTCTCTCCCCACCTAGTGGCCTTTCACCCTCTCCAGGACATACATGAAATTTTTCACAGCACAGTTAGATAGATCTTCTGTATACACTTTTATCTTTTACATGCTTGTCATTATGGACTGGAATTTTATTTTATTCAGAAAAATGGCACTCTAACAATGTGCCACTTTTCAGATATCCAAAATGGGATCTCTGCACTCAAATACTGAGACGTACATTAAATAATACACAAAGTAACCACATTGGGTAGGAAAGAAAATACAGGTTGATTAGACTTTATGTTCCTATTCATCAGATCTGTTAAAGTTAATTTTCTTACTTTTTCCTTGTTTTAACAGAAAAGATAACCAATATTTGTTGTCCTTTACTCTTTTCTAACCACAATAGACTTACTTTAGTTGTGAAAGAACCTTTAAAAAGATCCCTTTATTATGAAGAAAGGGTTGTAGTTCACAGAATCTTAGAAATGCTGGTTGGAAGGGAGCTTTAGACATACTGGACGACTCCAAACAACCGCTCCTTCATAAACTTATAAGGGATTCTCTGAAATTGCATTTTGTCATGGGCCTTTTGGTAATGCTATTATCCCATTCATCAATCAGATGCCGATCAGTTTGCAATCCTGTCAACCATTTATCACTGAAAATCTTTAATGTCCCTTAGGGAGCAAAGTATGAAACCTACAATATGGCTACATAAACTTCTTTAAGAAAGCTGGGTTTTCACCAGAACAGTAGATCCAAAACTTTATTCCTTCATAGCATACCTTATGATAGTTGTTGTCCCTAATTCTGTTACTGGGTTATTCAAACACTGAGACTACCGTAGATATTTTATATAATAGCCCCTTTATCATTTATCAGCCATCACAAACAACATATTTGTTGGTACATACAGTATTACAGAGGTACTACCATCTTTGTCATATAAGCAGATCTCCCTGCTTTGGATCACCTTAAATGGCTCAATATGGATTATTTTCTCTGTCATCATCCCCCTCAAAATTGAAGTGTTATTATTTCCATGAAAAGCTTCTGTATTCTGGTGCTAATTCATTCTCAACTCAAACGCCATTGTTAGTTACTCGCCAAATGTACTGGGTTTCACTTAACAGCATGTGTGTGTACCCACTGAAATACACTGGAAGATCCATTAGGCCTGGAATGACATATTGCTCAGAAACACATGTTGGATTCACCCCCATGTCCTGTCCCTCTCATGTAACAAATGCAAAAATGAACACAGTAGAGACACAAGTTTCAGGATAATTAGCTGAGCTTAAAAAAAGGACCCCTGAAATCAAAAAACAGAAGAAAAAATACATAAGGGGAAGTCCAAATAGCCATCCTTGCCAAGTATGACTATTTTTGTCTCCCTTCCTTTGCATCTCTTTTTTTTTTCTCCTAGAGCCATTTTTGCAGATACAGAAAACAGTATTACAATGTAGTTAATCTGCAACAAGGAATTTAACCAGTAATCTGATAATAGAAGTACATAACTGAAAACAGACCCAGAGCAATTTTTGAGTTTTACGGAATTGCTCGCTGAAAGGAGGAGGCCCAAATTTACATTTAATACAGAAGTAAGGATAAAAACACAAAATTAAAATCAGGAGAACTTGAACACATAATACCTACTTAATTTGTCCTTTTAAAAATTAATATTTAAGTGACAGAAAAACAAAACTCAGTAGTCTTATCTTAACATTTATTATTTACCACTAAGGGATAATACAATTTTTAGTCATTTATTGAGGAAAAGCATACTTCTTTTCCAATGACTGATTCTGCAAGTTTCATCTTAGAATAAGGATATTCAATAGTTTCAGGCTTGCTTTCACTCTTTCATCACTAGTAAGAGATACAAAAGACATTGGTGCCAAAGTTGACAGTTCCCAGAGAACACTGTGCAAATACAGAGCTCAACTGCTTGGCTCTGAGCAGACATAAGTAATCTGTCAGTGACAGAATCAAAGTGTTAGATCACTACTTTATTGCTTCCAAAAGATATAAAATAGAAACCAACTGAACCCCAGATAGCCCTACATAAAGGAACTTTTATTTCTATTAGGTAAGTGCAAAATCTTCCTTCCTTCATCTCCCCCACAATAAGAAGTACATGAAAATAGCAGTTCTAACTAGAAATGTGTCTCAGCGGAGTTATGTAAAGAATTAACGTACCCATCTACAAGTCCATGCTGCAAAATAAGTCTCTGAGCCTCTTCTCTAGAGATTTTATGATGAAACCATGACTGAGCTCTGTGTATAGCTGCAGAAATAAAGATCTTTAAAAAACAATTTTTCTTTATTGAAAGAACCAGCCATTGCATTTCTCTGTCAATGAATTAACTTACACATACCCATATTAGACATGGCAATAGGACTACCATGTGAGTTGAGTCGTAGACACCCCCTTCTCTGTATGAGAGAGAAATAAAAACATGATTTCACAGCCTTTTTTTTTATTTTTTAAAAAAAGAGCCAGAAAATACTATTCTGATAAAGCAAAGGTGGTTATACCCGCCATGCTAATCCTTCTTCAACTGCAACTGAAAGGGCTTCTGTTGGATTTTCTATAATTCTGCTTCTGTGTCCTGAGAAATCCATTGCTACTAAAGAATTTTCTGAAATGCTTCTCTGCAACAAAGAAAAATAAATTTAGTTTTTTCATTTTTTGAAAAATCCATCATTTAAAAGTGAGCTTCTGAGAAAACACTATGCTTTGTAAGTGGTGTTTCAAGTATCTGCAGTGTTTCCCATCAGAGCCAAACTCATTTTACCCTAGGGAGTATCTATAATTCCAGTATGCTGCTGCAAAGTTCAATTCTACAGTCTGGCAGGACAGATCATCTTTCTGCATTACTGCAATGGATGATAAATACATCGCTTTACCATAAGCTCTATTTATATTCTGAACTGTAACTAGTTTTGTATTTCAAAACAAGTCAGGAAACTGTTATTAAGTTGTCCAAGTAACAGAAAAAAAATATAAAAATACATAATTCTTATACATAATCATCAAATTAACAAATATTTTTAATATTTTTGCTATGTCATAAGATTATGCATTTTCTATATAAAATTTCACTCAGATTTTACTAGATTTAAGCATTGAAAACAGTAATTTCTATGGAGTTTTTCTATCTTAGTGCATCCTTCTTAACTATTAGCACTGACTCAACAACTTTAGGATGTTACATGAAAATGCTTGGGTTTTTTTCCCAGAAAAGATCCAGCTTGTAACAACAGAACAACAAACACTGAAGCTTGACAAAGCAGTCTTGAAACTCACCAAAATACTTCTAAGAACCCAAGGTTTACAAAGTCAAGTTTAATACAGACTGTAATGGCTCAAATGTTGACAGGCACTGGAATATCAAATGATTAAAAGCACATTCTAGCATTCTGTAAGTTAAAATAACATCTGGAACACAAGAGGCCCAGATTTCTGTAGGGTTAGTAAAGCTTCCCAGTGCAAAACCAAAGCAGCGCTGGTTTGTTCCTGTTGGGCTACAAGCATGGATACAACTACAAACGGAAGACAGCAATTCTGTAGTTCACTGTAAATCTTGACACTATAGTCTAAACTCTGCCTGAGTAACTGTATCCCATAAAGAACTCTGCAGAAGTAAAACACAAGGGCAAAACAGGAGAAAACATTTGCCTCTAGGACAGTGGAGGGAACTCCTTGTAGCTGACATTACTGTGGGTTATTGAGGAATGTGAAACATGGAAGTGGTTCCCCTACCAAGTGTGCTGGTTTGTGCACTTGATTCCCAATTTTATCCAACTTACTGTTTAACTCAGGAATTATATACAAGTAGAAATACAGTGCCATGCTTATACTGGTGATAGCTCATGTAGCTTCTAACACAGGTAGAACCTAAAACACACACAAAGGTGCAAGAGGAGAGAGAATCACAGAATGGTTTGGGTTGGAAGGGACCTTAAAGACCACCTAGTTCCAACCCCCCTGCCATGGGCAGGGACACCTTCCACTAGACCAGGTTGCTCAAAGTCTCATCCAGCCTGGCCTTGAAGACATTCAGGGATGGGGCATCCACAGCTTCTCTGGGCAACCTGTGCCAGTTCACTATCCTCTCTGTGAAGAATTTTTTTTCCTGACATCTAATTTAAATCTCCCAACTTTCAATTTTAATTGGTAATGGTTCCCAGATCTGTTATAAAAGCAGGAGCTGGATATTTTAACACCTTCACACAACAGAATGTAAAGACACAGTCAGTGTATTATGCACAGTTTTGAAGCCATGATTGTTAGCAATATCACTGAAGACTATTTTTGTGAATACCTATAGCAAATGAGTATTTTAGCCATTTTAACAGCAAGAACTGTAATAAAAGCTCAAAAAATCCACCACAAAATCATTGTCACAAGTCCTGGCAACAAGTAAATTTTACCCAATTTAGCCAACAAAAACCATAAATCATCCAGGAGAAGGTCTGAAATCAAATGACTCAAAGAACTGGGAAAAGATAAGACATTAAAGAAAAGGACAACCTGATCCAGCCCCAACTATCTGACCGAGGAGAAGGACACAGCACCTAATACAAGCTGTTGTTCCTCCAAAACCCAGTTCTCCCACATTATGCTGTTCCTCTGAAGTTCAGTCCCTTTACACCAGCTGAAATTCATCTTAAGTACCTCATATTTTATATTTTAAAAAAATAAAATGGAAGTATTACTGTATACTGAAAAGGATTTGCTACAGCTTCCTTATTCATCATTTACAGCATGTGTAACCTTAAATGCTTTGCTTCTTTTTTAATGCATTTATACTCCTACTGCTCTGTTTTCAAAATCCTCTTTATATCCTTTTTTTGACAGGGATAATAAGCCAATGCACTCCAAAATCCTGGAGATACGACGAGGGAAAAAGCTTGTTAACTGGTCTGAACTACCTAATTTGTATAAAGTTAATTAATTAGCTTTCTGGTCAACCCTGACAGCCCTAAAGTTTTCTGCAAGCATTTGCACATGCAAAGATTTGCAGGATCAGGTCAGTAGCATAACTGACACAAGCTAGTCAAAAACAGTATGATGGCAGAAACGATGCATTTATTCATGGAGCTACGGTGGGACATACCATAGGTGTTAGATTCAAAGGGCTGAAGCCACTTCTACCTTGATATGGTTGTATGTAATTCTGATACAGCTGCATCCCATACTAAAACCAGAAAATAACATGGTTAGCATTTTAAATTATAAAGATAACACATACTTTACCATTAAAAACCAGGGACAAATGCTGTTAGGATGAGGAAATGCACAACATTGTTGTTCTTGATGTTGCCTTTATAAAAGTACACTCTGCATGAAATACTACCCATTAAATACACCAACTGACCTATTCCTATTTTGTCACAAAGAGACACATTTTAAAAACATGTTAAAGCTCCTTTCTGGTGTATTCTTACAGCTTTGTTCAACATTACTCAACAATCTCACTGAATTCAACATGGTTACATATAATCGTGTGCTTAATAGTAAGTTTCAGTATTTGCAAAACTGAGGGTTCAAGACATCATCCCATCTCCTACAACGATTTCAGTAATTCAGTCTCTGTCTGTTGGGATGAAGAAAAATAAGCTTTCAGAGTACAAAACTGATATTACTATTGCATGGGAACCTAGACTTATGCCAATTATCTACCTGACAGTATAAAAAATTCACATAGTAAACTTAAGCAAGAAGTTAACTCCACACAGAAAAATTACCTTAAGCAACCTAATTGCTGTCATCCAACAGGTCCTACTTTGTTCATCATCTGCACAGAGCTGTTTCAGGTCTCTGGTTCCTCCTGATTTGTTAGGCTAGAAGGCCACAGCACATTTTTTTAGCATTAATGCATATCTTGAAGATAATACCTGTTGAAATAAAAGCCACTAATTCTCCTATTTTATAATAGACAGCTGAATATTGTTTTCAAAAAGTTTAAAAAAACTTAAGCTTACCTAAAAACTGTGGCTTGCTTTAATATATATCAGAATAATAAGCTTGTACCTTAAAGCAGAATCCATAGTTTGTTGGTGCTCCAGAAATCTTTTTGCCTGTCAAAGACATGTACATATCACTATTGCTGAATTCACAGAAAAACTGCAGATGCCTTGGCTCCTAAAAAGAAGAGCAGTGTAATACAGTTAAGACTGTTTTTAGCCAGCCTCTCCTGATAAGCAACTCAGAAAAGTAGTTATCCTGTTCCAAAACAGTGTTACATATTGTATTCTTTATTGTGACATCATGAAATCTAGAAAGAGATAAGTCAACATTAATTTTATAATGCAGAGAATAAACACCTCAAAATAGTCAAAGAGTTCATTCTAGAGAGGGATTAAAAACAAAGTGCAAGTGATATCATTTCTGGGAAAACATCCACTAAATTCAAGCTACAATAGTATCAGAGTAGGAGTAAAGTTTTGAGAGCAGTATGCATTTCAAACATCAAAATAAAATATACTTTCAAAATCTCAAAACTAACATGCTGCAATTATTCCTGACCAGTTCTATTTCCAACCATTATACCCTCCCTCTAAAAATCAAGAAATCCAACAAAAGAAATTTGCAGGATACAAAAGCAGCTCAGTGAATACTCTGGTAGTTAACACAGAAAACTGGGAACAAGAAAAAGCATTGTTTTAAGTGATTTATGTAAAAGGTGTCTCAATTCCACTGTATCCTGTTTAACATAACCAGGTTTAAAGTACTGCCATCAAAAAGTTGAACTAGTAAACTGAAGAACTGCTCAGTGACAAAATTTGAGAACTCTCAAAATCTTCCTGTAACATCCTTTTATACACAGTTTTTTGTTTAATTTAGATAATAATTTTAGATAAGTATTATTATGTCCATCTTTCAGAGCATCTACTTATGCTTCAGAAGTTCAACTACTATTTGAAAATTCATTTTAAAAGGGCACTCTGTTAACTGACTGGAGAAAAATTAACCTGAATGAACAAGTTAACAGGCAAAAAGAAACTACTGTTTCTAAGACAGCAGTTTCCCAATTTAGTATATGAATACCTCTCTAGATTTTATGTATAATAAATAGATTTTTTTTTCCCATTTTATCCCTATAAACTGGGCTGCAGGTCCTGGGGCAGGGATCCCCCGGCAGCCTGTGAGAGAGACCAAGTAAGAGCAGGTTCACCCTGAAGGACTACAGCCCACGGAAAGGATCTACACAGAAACAGGGGAAAAATGTGAGGAGGAAGGGAGGTCAGAGGGAAGCTGTTGTGGACTGACCATAACCCCTCATTTCCCCCTAAACTGCTTTGGGTGGGGAAGAGTCAGGAGAAAAGGAGTGAAGTGGAGCCTGGGTGAATGGCCTGTAAGTTGAAATTCAAATTTTGGTTACTATTACAACAAATTATAAATACGTACATTTTTTCTCTAACCTCATAGATATTTCTTTTTTTTTTCTTCCTTCCCTTACCTTAGATGTACCTTTAGTAGAAAAGTAAAGGCCAGATCTTCTCAAAACAAAGTACAATTTTTTCCATGATTTTTTTCCCTGCTCCTTTGCATGCAAATAACCATGAATCTCAGGATAAGTGCTGGAGCTTAGGAACATCTGAAAGAAAATATCAGACAAGCATTTTTCTTTTCATCTGAAACTAGCTTTCTGTTTCATTAACATACTCAGACAGGACTAAGGGGAATAAACCCCTAAATCCACTATCACACCGCAGTAATTCAGTTATGACTGCATCTAAATCCATTAAGAGTACATCTGATTTAAGGCATGTAGAATGTTACACAACTCCAAGGTGTGCTAAGCAAGTTACATATTTATATGGAACATATGGTTTGAAATGAGAGCATTAGTTATGCAATATGTTTACTTCAGCAACAAAACCAGTGTACGAAGTTCTGATCCCATGCCTCAGACCCTATTTATATAAAACTGCAAATCAGTGCTACCAAAAGAAGAAAGAAGCGCCCCCCCCCCCCCCCCCCCAAACTAGATAAGGCAACTGGTCTGAGTTAAAATTATGCGGCAAACAAATCACACAATCTGAATCACAAAGCCATGCAGGTCAGGCAGATATTACCATTTTCAAAAGGAGGGAACAAAGGTGTCAGGACCTAAAGTGGTGCTGAAGTAGGAGCTATAGTTGAATCGAAACCAGGAGAGGCTGGGCCAGTCAGCAAGACAGCTCCTGTCTGTGCTCATGGTCATGGGGCACAGAAGACTGAAATAAGCTGCATCAGGAGGAAAGAGGACTTGAAAGCCTGACAGATCAGACTTTGCCTCCAGAACTGCGCACCCTCACATGCCATAGAAAAGGCAGAATGATACGGATAGCCAGAGAAGTTAACTAGTGCATTGAGAGAAGCTAACCAATGCACTGCCCCTGCTCAAGATAGTGGCTTCTCCTTTGCCATTTCAACCAGACGCTGTAGGACAGCAACACAGCTGTTAGCTTGCTCAGACCAAGTGCACAGTTTTCCTCAGTCAGTACCTACTAAAAGCTGGCAACCATCTTACACTCATTCAAATTCCATGTAATGCATTCACTTTTATTACTCTTCTTACAATAAAACTACTCAGAACCATGACTCACATCTAAACAGACTAACCTAGAACTCCTCAGTTTCCATATATGCAAAGGTATCAGTGCTGTTAGTAAGCTCCTCAAGGAACCTCGCCCCAGGCTGGACTGCAGAATCATAAATACTACCTAGGCTTATTAGGGAGCAAGGGTTTTCTAGTTGCTATCTGCAGCTTCTATTGCTGCATTTTCCTCCTGTCCACTGCTACTTCCAGAAAATCTGACTGGAAGACACAAAGCAACAGATTACAAGGCAAGAGACAGACTGGCCATTACCAAACTGCAGCAAAATGATGAAGTGAACGTGAGTTTGGAAGTTCAAGATCTTTGGCCACTAAATAATGCAGTCCAACCACGATACACACGATTTCTTTCACTCTTCTTGTTTTCCTGCCTTGCAGCCAGATGCGTGACTGTACCACCCGCAGACCGACCAGAGCTAGTTAAATGTGGCTGCTGGGAATGCAGCGTATGGGCAAGCTCCATCTGACAGGAGCACCCCAGCCCACAGCAAGGAACGCATTATGAAGAGCTGCACTGCTACTCCCCTGCACAGTTAAATGACAGCAAGACTAGGTACAGCTATCTACATGAGCTGCTGGCACACAGCTGTGTACAAATGCAGTTTAAGCTATTTCAGACACACTGAAGCAGATGGGTAGGTACAGGTAGGTGTTCCAGACTGTTAATCTCCCCACTTGCCATGTATTACCAGGTTCAACAATGGTGAATATAAAGGCTGAACTGAAAAAGTATCTTAATTCCATAACAAAGTCAAATGGAAGCTTTAGAAGAATCTAAGAGTCAATGTATGTAAAAACAAAATAACATCTTTTTAGGTTTTCGTATCTCCGCTGCAGATGAAAGGAGCAGTTGGCTCCCAGCCTGCACAAGTGTCTTCCCCAGGATTTCTGCCACAGGAGCTTCAAACCAGAAGCGCTGTCATGAAAAATGCTTTTCTTACTCAGCAGACCAAAGTGGAGCAGCAATACAAAACTCAGCTTTAACAGCCACTGTTGTACCCATGCTATCAATTAAAATAAAGTAGCAATAATGCTAGGAAAAAGGCAATCCTAGATCCATCTTTTTCTTTCTAAGACAGCTGAGGACTGTGTGAGGAAAATATAACACGAACAAGCTGTCGTCAAAAACATTAACTATCAGAAGGAATGAGCAGTAAAAATATCTCAGAGTGAGAACTGAATGCCTGTAATAAACACCTAAAACTAAAGACAGTAAGAAAGATAAATTCCTTGGATTTTTTTGTTGCTGGTTGGGTTTGTCTGTTTTACTGTTTTGGTTTGTTGTTTATTTTTAATGGAGATACGTGCAAGTTTGTTACAGGGGAGAACGGATCCCTGTTTATCCAGAAAAGAGGTAATCAAAGTAGGACAAAAATAAGAAAAATAAGAAGAGTTCTTAGTATAGGAAAATGTGGTGAGAATTAAAGTATGGTATGCTGCAGGAAGGGATTACTGGTCACACAACATACAGAAATAAGTTTGCACCCTCTCCCCCATGCAGTGAAAATGTAGGGTGGCGTGAAATGTCACCATGTCTTTCAGATACTTTCAGATACATACATTATGACAGCACCAAGGACTCAATTATGATTGTATTAGCTGTAAAATCAACCAATTAAAAACAATGTGAACAAACCCAAAGCAAATAAATGTCTTTTGTTAGGGAAAAACATGAAATCAGCAAGTGGAAAAACAACAGGAAAGACATTGCACTGTCTCAGATTAATATAATAATAAACCATGCGGAAATACTAGATGACACTGAATGCAATACTGAGAGCTGCACTCCCAACCATACAACTTGTTTGGCTGCATCTTCAATACTGTGAATGAAAGAATGGTTGCAGTAGCAGAGACAACATTTGCCAGGGTGGATGCTTCTCGAGCACCTACACACTATTTTGGAGAGTTAATGAAGCCATCATTTTCCTAAGACTCTGTGAATCAAATTTGAATTCGAGGACTGATTTCTTCAAAGATGTGATGACAGCTGGCCATGATACAGCCCAATGCTGCTGGGAATGAGCAGGCTTTCCCCTGAACCTGCTGCTAAATTTTGCGGGCACCAATAACTCCAGTGAACAACTGATACTGATTCTCAGTGCAGTCTCCTATAGACTTGAGTCAATCTGAGGGATTTCGACTTGGAAAAAGGCCAGCAAAACCTAGAGCGGAAGATGGGGAAAGGCAAGGGGCAGCCTAGAACATGTCTAGGAGACTCCCAAGAGACTGAAATTCAGTGCATGGCTATTTCAGCCTAAAGACCGAAATCACATCACA